CCACGGCTGACTGAGCTGCCTCTTCCCACTGGGAGTTCAGGAGCGGTGACCATGGTAAGCACCCCGAGTACCAGCAGCTCCCCAACACGTGGCTGTGGGCGCTGGTGGCCCCGCCTATTGCTACAAGGGACAAATACTTGACCCTTCTACTGTCTTCTCCTGCTGCCTCCAGGTGACCTCAGACAAATGGGATGGGATTGGGGCCCCTTAACTGTGTTGCCCATTCAGGCCCAAGGCTTTCCAAGATGAGCCAAACACACTTAAGACATCTGTTGTTTCTCAGATACATGGATTCTCTATCAAAACCTTTAAATACAAAGCTTAAACCCTAGGTGGTGGTGTTCTATTGCTCAATTAGCAGTAGCTTTAAGTGCTAAGGCTGTAGCTTTGTGAAGCATTATCTTATAAAATGGGACATACAATCTCGCCAATAGTGACCATGTTCTAAAATGTTTCATCCTCTCAGTCATTTAAAAAGTATATTTTGAGCAGCATCTCTTCATTTCCAGATAAATCTATTTCCTATTCATTCCAAATCCTTCATCAACGGTTTCCATCTGGCATTCTAGGATTCTTATGTTTCCTTAGGGCGCTAGGGAAAAGTTTCATCTATTTTCAGTATTTCCTACAGAAATTGTACTTTTATGATAAGGTTGTATTTATTAACTTAAAAAAAATGTTCTTTGCTTTCTAGTGAAATGATAAATGACCCAGTGGCATTTATGCAGATCAGAATGTCCGATTTGCAGTCTTAAACTGAAATATGTGCTGTGTGCTAAGTTGCTATGGACCTATGGACCATAACCCACCAGGTTCCTCTGTTCATGGGATTCTCCAGGCAAGAATAGTGGAGTGGGTTGCCATCTCCTCCTCCAGGGGATCTTCCCGACCCAGGGATCAAACCTGCATCTCTTCGTCTCCTTCATTGTCAAGGGAGTTCTGTACCACTAGTGCCAAAATACATGGAAATGTAAATAATGTATTACATGAGAAAATACATGTGTCTGGAAGATGGAAACCTCGAAAGGTGAGGTTCACACGGGCAAAGGATGAATGATGAGAAGACCGGGCCACATGTCTCGTCACCATGGTTATGTCTACTGTCCCTCTAAGAGTTCACAATCTCCTTGTCACTGTGAAAAATACCTTTTACATTTACTATGCAAGTGTCTGTTTCAAGGGATGTCAAAGCACAGTGACTAAAGGTCCATTTTTTTGTTGTTCAAATGTGCCCTGGAGCAGCAAGGGGCCACTGAGGTACTACATCATTCTAGGATCAAAGAGTAGAAAATGAAAATGATCACCCCACTTTTTCGCTAGCTGGGGCTACTGCACTTGGTAATGATGTCCAGTGGATTCTCAGATTGTCTTTTCCAGGATAAGCATACTCTGAAAAGTCTGGGAGGCCTCCGGTCAGACCGTGGTGCTGGGAAACCATCAACACGGCCTCAAGAGGGTAAATGCCTTTATACCTGGGGTGACAGGTGGCTGCTGCTGCTCCCATATCTTTGCAGAGAAAGGAGAATGAAGGCAACAGCTACTTCATGTCATTTTCTTCTTTGTTCTTTCATAATACTTGTTAAAAGGAAACAAGCAGCCCCAAATGGAGTCACTTGTGCTAAACCCAACCAAGACTTAATATCAGCTAATAGCAGTTTCAGCCTCTCTCAGGAGTAGAATTTTAAATAATTCAGTCTGAAATTTCCTGGTCTGCACAAGGAAGGTAATCTGCTTCAAAACCCCTGCATTCCCATAAGGCAGGGTTCCCCAGTCCCCAGGCCATGGGCTGGTTTTGGTCCATGGCCTGTCAGGAACCAGGCTGTATAGCAGGAGGTGAGCAGTGGGCTAGCCAGTGAAGTTTCATCTGTATTTACAGCTGCTCCTCATCACTTGCATTCCCGCCTGAGCTCTGCCTCCTGTCAGATCAGCATTGGCATTGATAAATTAAATGTAATGTGCTTGAATTGGGCTTCCCAGGTGGTGCTAGTGGTAAAGAACCCGTCTGCCAGTGCAGAGGATGTAAAAGATGTGGGTTTAATCCCTGGGTTGGGAAGTCGCCAAATCACGTCTGACTCTTAGAGACCCCATGGACTGCAGCACAAGAGGCTTCTCTGTCCTTCACCATCTCCCGGAGTTTGCCCAAGTTCATATCCATTGAATCGGTAATGCCATCCAACCATATCTAGATAGTTAGATATTCTCAGGAACTGATTTTATGATCCCAATCCTTGCATCTCTTCATAGCTAGAAAATCATTAAATCCCTTCATTGGTGACATCAGCTCCTCCTGACGAGCAGAAAACCTTTTGTAAAGTAAGGGCTTGATTACACTGAACTCCCCCTTCACCAAAATCTTATATATTGACCCACTGCCTCTTCTCCCACTTCCACCAGGGGTTCCCTGGTGGCTCAGACGGTAAAGCATCTGCCTGCAATGTGGGAGACGTGGGTTCAATCCCTGGGTTGGGAGGATCCCCTGGAGAAGGAAATGGCAACTCACTCCAGTCCTCCTGCGTGGAAAATCCCATGGATGCAGGAGCCTGGTAGGCTACAATTCATGTGGTCACAAAGAGTCGGACACAACTGAGTGACTTCACTTTCACTTTCATTGCCTCTTTGGAGCAGTCTTTCAGAGCTATTTGAGGTGTGTCTCCAGGGCTGCAGTCCTCATTTCTCCCCCAAATAATTAACTCTACACATGGACATCACCAGATACTCTATATTGATATCAGATTGATTATATTCTTTGTAGCCGAAGATGGAGAAGCTCTACATAGTCAGCAAAAACAAGACCAGGAGCTGATTTTGGCTCAGATCATGAACTCCTTATTTCAAAATTCAGACTTAAATTTAACAACATAGGGAAAGCCTTTGACTATGCTAAATCCTTTGAGTGTGTGAATCACAACAAACTGTGGAAAATTCTTAAGGAGATGGTAATACCAGACCACCTTACCTGCCTTCTGTAAAACCTGTATGCAGGTCAAGAAGCAACAGTTAGAACCAGACATGGAACAATGGACTGGTTCAAAATTGGGAAAGGAGCATGTTCCCTGATAGCTCAGTTGGTAAAGAATCTGCCTGCAATGCGGGAGACCTGGGTTCGATCCCTGGGTTGGGAAGATCCTCTGGAGAAGGGAAAGATTACCCACTCCAGTATTCTGAGTTGGAGAATTCCATGGACTGTATGGAGTGGGGTTGCAAAAAGTCGGATACTACTGAGCAACTTTCACTTTCATGTCAAGGCTGTATACTGTCACCCTGATTATTTAACTTATATGCAGAGTACATCATGAGAAATGCCGGGCTGGATGAACCAAAGCAGCAATCAAGACTGCTGTGAGAAATATCAATAATCTCAGATATGTAGGTGACACTACCCTTATGGCAGAAAGCAAAGAGGAACTAAAGAGCCTCCTGATGAAAGTGAAACAGGAGAGTAAAAAAACTGGCTTAAACCTCAACATTCAAAAAACAAAGATCATGACATCCAGTCCCACCACTTCATGCAAATAGATGGGGAAACAATGGAAACAGAGACAGATATTATTTTCTTGGGCTCTAAAATCACTGTGGACAGTGACTATAGCCATGAAATTAAAAGACGCTTGCTCTTTGGAAGAAAAGCAATGACAAACCTAGACAGCATATTAAAAAGAAGAGACATTACTTTGCCAACAAAGGTCCATCTAGTCAAAGCTATGGTTTTCCCAGTAGTCATGTACAGATTCGAGAGTTGGAGAATAAAAAAGGCTGAGAGTCGAAGAATTGATGCTTTTGAACTGTGGTGTTGGAGAAGACTCTTGAGAGTCCCTTGGACTGCAAGGAGATCCAACCAGGCCATCCTAAAGGAGATCAGCCCTGAATGTTCATTGGAAGGACTGATGTTGAAGCTGAAACTCCAATACTTTGGCCACCTGATGCGAAGAGATGACTCATTTGAAAAGACTCTGATGCTGGGAAAGATTGAAGGCAGGAGAAGAAGGGGATGACAGAGGATGAGATGGTTGGATAGCATCACTGACTCAATGGAGATGAGTTTGAGTAGACTCTGGGAGTTGGTGATGGACAGGGAGGCCTGGCGTGCTGTGGTCCATGGGGTCGCGAAGAGTGGGCCACAACTGAGCAACTGAACTGAATGACTCAACAACAACAAAACTTAACTTGCAACTCTCCACTTGTGTGTCTTTTTTAGTTGACAGAGCTTTGGCTGGGATTGAAGCCCATCTGAATTGCGGTTTCAACCTTGGTTAATCATTCCAAGTTTCTGACTTCAGATTTCTTAAGCATTCATTTCACCGGTTTCATCTGTCTTAGGTCAGTGTTTTCAATTGCAGTGGTTCTCCAAGTTTGGTGTTCAGACCCGCAAAACCAGCATCATGTAGAACTTGGTTAGAAATGCAAATTTTGGAGCTCCAACCTGAATTGAGAATTTGTGGAATTTCACCTGATACAGACTCCAAGGTTGACAACCACAGTTCCAAACACACTCTGGACCTTGGCGGGTGGGAGCGGGGTGTACAAAGCAGAGGCTGAGTAAGATCTGGGTTTTTCGGTGCCACCCGCTGGATGGTCCGCCTGCGGTGTCCGCATTGGGCTCCAGGTCCACGATTCCACCCAGGCTGCTCAGCCTGGTGCCTTCTCTGGGCGGTTTCTGGAAACGTCCTGCTGCTTGAGGGGAGAGGCGCTCCCACGGGTCCCTGAACCAGACTAGTTTCTTCTCCCCCAGAGGATAATCTAGGAGGTCGAGAGGAGCAGGCTCAGGGCAGGATCTGGGGTAATCCTGGCCTCCTTAGTTATGCAAGAGAGCGCTGCAGGCCTCCTGGGGCCATTCTGCTCCTGGGCCCGAAGCGCGGCCACTCCCATCCCAGCAGGGAGGGTGCCTTTTTCCGAAGGCAGCTTGATCAGGTGACCGTGGCGGCTCTTACTTAGCCGGGGACGCGGAAGGACGAGCTCTCGGAGGCCGCGGGAGAACGCTCAGGACCGGGGACTGCGAGGCCATGCGATCCCCGAAGCTGCCCGGGCCGGCGCTTGCGCTGCTGGTCCTGCTGCTTCTGCTGCCGCCGCCGGGTTCCGCGGGCGGCCCCGCGCCCTTCGACCCGACCTGGGAGTCCCTGGACGCCCGCCAGCTGCCCGCCTGGTTCGACAAGGCCAAGTTCGGCATCTTTATCCACTGGGGCGTGTTCTCCGTGCCCAGTTTCGGGAGCGAATGGTTCTGGTGAGCACGCCTCCCCCAGTCTCCCCTGATACCTCCCTTACACCCTACTGGCCCGCAGCCAGGACCCAGACCTCCAGCCTTTGCGGGTTTGTTTCGTCTCTTAAGTCAGTTTCACCTCCTGCAGTTTGAGCCGCGCTTTGCATTTCCGGGTGTTACGTTTATGGTTTTACTGGGTAAGTGGTTGGTGCTGGGTGAACGCTGTATTTTTCTTCCGTCTGACTGCAAGAGTCAGACACTTGATGTGGCTCTGGCTTCTCAGCTTCTTGGTAGTTGAACTTATCAGTTGTTCTTATCACTCTGTAGCCAGCGACAGAATAAAATAGCAGAAAACTAACGGGCTTGTGTGGGGGTCTAGGAGGGAGCTCTGGGCCTCAACTGTCCTTGTCCTTTGAACTTCAGACTTGCTCCGTGGCTGTTCTAATGCTGCTTGTCAATTGTCAAGTTGTTCTGCCACGAAGCAGGGTTTAAACATAAATTCAAGATGACTTCTGTTCATCTGGGCATTCACTGGCTCTTTAACCTTAAAATGTTACCACATGTAGCCCAAGGAAAAATTTTTTAAAAGATTCTAGAATATTAACCCTAAGGAACTCCAATTATTAACAGATTGCTATGTGAAAAGTTATGAACAAAGCCAGTGGAGGTGGTGGAATTCCAGCTGAGCTAGTCCTAAAAGATGGTGCTGTTAAAGTGCTGCACTCAGTAAATCAGCAAATTTGAAAAACTCAGCAGTGGCCACAGAACTGGAAAGTGTCAGTTTTCATTCCAGTCCCAAAGAAGGGCAATGCCAAAGAATGTTCAAACTACCGCACAATTGTGCTCATTTCACATGCTAGCAAGATTATGCTCGAAATCCTTTGAGCTAGATTTCAGCAGTACATGAACCAAGAACTTGCAGATGTACGGGTTGGATTTAGAAAAGGCAGAGGAACCAGAGATCAAATTGCCAACATCCATTGGATCTCAGAGAAAGCAAGGAAATTCCAGAAAAACATCTACTTCTGCTGCATTGACTACGCTAAAGCCTTTGACTGGGTGCATCACAGCAAACTGTGGAAAATTCTTAAAGAGACGGGAATATCAGACCGCCTTACCTGCTTCCTGAGGAATCTGTATGCAGGTCAAGAAGCAACAGTTAGAACCAGACATGGAACAATGGACTGGTTTAAAATTGGGAACGGAGTATGACAAGGTTGTATGTTGTCACCCTTCTTTTTAACTTATATGCAGAGTACATCATGAGAAATGCTGGACTGGATGAATCACGAGCTGGAATTAAGATTGCTGGGAGAAATATCAACCTCAGATACGAGATGATACCACTCTAATGGCCGAAAGTGAAGAGGAACTAAAGTGCCTCTTGATGAGAGTGAAAGAGGAGGGTGAAAAAGGTGTTGAAATTCAACATTAAAAAAACTGAGATCATAGCATCTGGTCCCTTTATGGCAAAGAGATGGGGGGAAATGGAAACAGTGACAGATTTTATTTTCTTGGGCTCCAAAATCACCATGGACAGTGACTGCTGCCTTGAAATTAAAAGATGCTTGCTCCTTGGAAGGAAAGCTATGATAAACCTAGACAGCATATTAAAAAGCTATCAGTTTACCAACAAAGGTCCATCTAGTCAAAACTATGGTTTTCCCAGTAGTCATGTATGGATGTGAGAGTTGGCTAAAGAAGGCTGAGTGCTGAAGAATTGATGCTTTTGAACTGTGGTGTTGGAGAAGATTCTTGAGAGTCCCTTGGATGCAAGAGATCAAACCAGTCAATCACAAAGGAAATCAGTCCCAAATATTCATTGGAAGGACTGTGGCTGAAGCTCCAATACTTTGGCCACCTGATGTGAAGAGCTGACTCATTGGAAAAGACCCTGATGCTGGGAAAGAGTGAAGGCAAAAGGAAAAGGGGCCGGCAAAGGGTGAGATTGTTAGATACCATCACTGACTCAATGGACGTGGATTTGAACAAACTTGGAGATAGTGGAGGTCAGGGGAGCCTGGCATGCCGCAGTCCATGGGGTTGGAAAGAGCTGGACACAACTTAGCGACTGAACAAAATGTGAAAAGTGGGCTTGCCTGGTGGCTCAGTGGTAAAGAATCCCCTTGCAATGTGGGAGACACTGGCCTTGATCCCTGGGTCAGAAAGACCCCCTGGAGAAGGAAATGGCAACCCACTCCAGTATTCTTGCCTGGAAAATCCCATGGACAGAGGAGCTTGGCGGGCTACAGTCCATGGGGTCTCAGAAAGATTTGGACATGACTTAGCAACTGAACAACAGCAACACCTGTGAAAAGGGGTGGACAAAAAATTGCTTGTTAGATTTTACCTTGAGAGCCATATCTTTATAGCTTTAAGTGTCTCCCATCTTTCTTGATAAAATACTTCAGGTATGTTAAGTTCTTCAAGATAGAAATGTTACTACATATATATGTATGCATAATACACATACATACACATAAATAATATATTCCTAAGTAAGATAAGAAAATAAACAATGAATACTTAAACCTACATTATACTATGTACATAATGTACAACTAATTTAATTCATACAATATATATTCCATATGACAACTATAAAAAAAACACCCAGTGTGAGAGTTGTGAATTAAGTTTTATTTGGGGCAAAATGAGGACTGTAACCCAGGAGATTGCCTCTTAGAGAGCTCTGTGGAACTGCTCTGAAGAGGTAAGGGTGGAGGTCAGTATGTTGTTGAGTTGCTAAGTTGTGTCCTACTCTTTGCGACCCCTTGGACTGTAGCCTACATTTGTGACCCCAAATCCTCTGTCCATGGGATTTCCCAGGCAAGACTACTACAATGGGTTGCCATTTCCTTCTCTAGGGGATCTTCCCAACCCAGGTATCAAACCCACATCTCCTGCATTGCAGTAAGATTCCTTACCGCTGAGCTACCAGGGAAGCCAGAGGTAAGTATATATGTCATTTTTTGGTGAAAGGGGATATATGCAATCAGCACACATTTTGACAGAAGGTTACTGCTCGTCACCAGGAACGGACGTCTCCCTTAATGATTTTAGTACTTTTCTAGATATGAGAAACATGCAAGAAATTGGATTCATAAAATCTTCTCCTGAAAATATCTGACTATCTGAAAGGCTGTTCTGGCAGTTTTTCCTAATCTCCACCCTTTCCTTTCAGGGTGTGTTGAAAGTCAGCAACTACAGTGGCTAATGACTTCATTCTTATAGAACCAGATGGCAAGTGACAATTTTTAGTTGGCTGATACATTGAAGAGTATAAATTATATATTGTATTAGACTGTAAACATTTACACTGTAAACATTGTACCACTTTCTTTAAAGACGTTGACTTTCTGCAACCAGTAACTTTTCTTATTCAGTTAGGCCCATTGATGTAAAAGAACTGCATAAGCTATGAAGTACTATTCATATACTCTTGAAATCAACTTGTAAAATATGGGACTCTTTCTTTCCATAACCTGTATTACCAAATATATTTGCTTCAGGATATTGTACATCTTTCTTTGCAAGTTTTGTGCTGTGAGGCATTTTGAATTTACTTTTGAAATGTTTCGATTAGCAAGGTGTTGCGGTCCTTTAATGGACCGGAAACTGGTGGTCTGGAGTTGACAATAAGAAAGTGAAAGAAGGAAAGAGGCTAATATTCCCTGGGTTACGCAGAGAACCAATAAAGCCCTAGGACAGGGCTCACATAGGCACAGGGTGTCCTCTCGAAGAGGTCTTGAAAGCCCGGGCAGGAAAGTGAGCGTGGCAGGCTTCCACACTCCAGAGAATCAGCCAGAAAAAGAGAGAGAGAGAGAGAGAGAGAGAGAAAGAAGGACACGGGGACCCAAATCTCTAGTGGAAAAAGGGTGCTTTATTGAACTCTGTGTGAGTATATATACTGTTTTACAAGGTAGCTTCTTCAGGTAAAGAGCGAAAGACCAGACTTTACAAGTTACCAAGGAAACAAGGAGTAATAGAGGTCATAAAACCAGAAGACAATCCATATCAAAGAAAGAGGGTCGTAAATAATCACTTTTACCATATGGAAAAGCTAATGAAGGAAATCCTGTGCACGCATTCCATCTCATGACCTCAGTCCTGGGAGCAGCGTGCTGCTCTGCTCCTTCCTGTTAGCAGGAACTGATAGTAACAGGGGGCTCATGAGCGACAGGAAACAGCACACAGCAGTCCTACTGTTAAACATTCCCTGACAGCAAAGTACATAAATGAGCAGATTTCTTCTTTTTATATTGTGTGTGTTCAGTTGCTCAGTCATGTCTGACTCTTTGTGACCCCCATGGACTGTAACCCACCAGGCTCCTCTGTTTTCATGGGATTCTCTAGGCAAGAATACTGGAGTGGGTTGCCATGCTCTCCTCTAGGGGATCTTCCCAACCCAGGGATTGAACCTGCGTGTCTTATGCCTCCTGCATTGGCAAGCAGGTTCTGTTAACCATTAGCACCTTTGTTCAACTGGGAAGATTAGGTAAATATACATTTGATGCTAGGAGAGGATTTGATGGTTATTAGTTGAAACTAGTGCTCTGCACAAAACAGCTAGTTTTGAGTCATCTTATTCTTTGTAATGGTTAACTTCTTATTTTCTACAAATGAACACAAAGTTGTTTTGACCTGGAACAATAAAGATAATTCTTATACAAAACAGAGTATATTTTTGATGGTCTGGAAGTGCAATAACCCTATAGAAGATTCTTAATTATCTATAGTTTCCCTTTTTACCTCCTCTAAATCTCTGATCTCACTTGATTTGACCTGGGGCAGTCAACAGCAGAGATGAGTATATTTGACTATCCTTAATAGCCGCTCAAAAACAAATATAAATGGTGGGCTGTTTACTGTAAGTGCTTCTTCTCATCTCTATTACTATGAAATTTGAGAAGTGACTCTAGACTGTAATAGAGAATGCAGGTTCAAATTAGATGTGCCAGGAAAAAAATAGAAATCTCTTCTCTCTTAACTTTCTGACTCTTCCAGTTTCTCTTTTGCAGTTCCATTTAAAAGATAAAAATGCCTCATGGATCCATTAGGATACTTTCACTTCAAGGTATAGAAAACTCAAATAAAAGGTATAATAATAGGAGCTTATTACTATACATAATAAGAAATTTAGAAGTACTTGGCTCAGTGATGAAATCAAAGTCCTGGGCTCTCTGTCATCCTCAGCCTGTTGACTTGTCCTGTCACCGTCACATGATGGTGGCCAGGCATCACGTCACACAGCCTCGTCCAAAGGCAGATTGTGTCTCTTTCTACTAGATAGGAGACCATTCCCAGAATCTCCCAAGTTGGCTTCCCCTCCAGTTCCATTGGCCAGGATGGGTCAGGTGTCCATGTGGTAGCTGTGATAGAAGCTGGCAAAGTGTGTATCTGACTCTTGGGCAGGTAAAGAATAGTGCCTGTGACACAGTATGTCCTTCAGCAAAGCCTTCCCAGCAGAAGGAACCTCCTGGTCATCTTTGAGGATCTAGTGCTGATTATGAATTTGTTCATCCAGTAAAAGCACTCTTATGAAAAGAGTAGTGAAAGGAAGAATAGAAGATGGGTCCAAGGGGGCACTTGCACCTGTTTCATGACCATGGGCTTACTGCCATGTTTATATAAAATGTTTATCTAAAAATTATGCTTTGAGAATTTCCCTGGTGGTCCAATCGTGAAGACTCCACACTCCTGGTGCAGGGGGCCTGGGTTCCATCGCTGGTCAGGGAACTAGGTTCCATATGCTGCAACTAAGAGTTTGCATGCCATAACTAAAGATCCTGCATGCTGTGACTAACACCCAGGGCAGCCAAATAAATAAATAAGTAGTTTTCTTTTTTTAAGTTATGTTTTCAATGTTGTTTTCCTTCTGAAGCTCTGCTTAGGCAGTTGAGGCCCCACTGCTCAGGATAAATGCATATAACCAGTAATCCTTGAAGAGTGAGTCAGTATATTAAAACAACAGCATTTTCTTAATTTTACTGCCATTTCCTCCCCCACTTGTTCCCTGCTAGTGAATATAATACATTTGTGTTATAGTTTATGCACTTTGTCTTCTTTTGAAGACTTCATCATTTATGTTACAAAGGACTAATTATGTATACTCCATGTTGCAATCTAAAAGTGAAGGATTAAGAGCAAATGGGTGACTGGTTTGTCTAGAATGTTCTGGTTGATAAGCTGAGTAGAGTCACAGAGGGATAGATGGAAGACCATGGAAGTTCATGTACGCTTTCCTTAAGTGAAGTCAGACTAAATGGGGAAGTTAGGAAGGGAATCTTAGTGACATCTGAATAAGGGAGAATTTTAGTAAAGGGAGTTATAGTTGACCCTTAAATAGCACAAGTTTGGTTTACTTTTATGTGTAGTCTTTTCAATAAATACATAATTGGCCCTCTATATTCAAGGGATTTGCATCTATGGATTTAACCAACCTCAGACAGAAATCTTCATCTATGTTTGCTTGAATCTGCAGATGCCAAAACTGTGGATATGGAGGGCAGACTAGTATGCCATTTTATGTAAGGGACTTGAGTACTCACAGATGTTGGTATCTGCTGAGAAACGTGGGACTCGTTCTCTATGAATACCGAGGGATACCTCTATGTCAAGTGTTTATGTGATGCCACTTATATGCTGTTTCCGTCATCCCCTTAGGTGGTACTGGCAAAAGGAAAAGATACCAGCTTATGTGGACTTTATGAAAAATAATTACCCTCCTGATTTCACATATGAAGATTTTGGACCACTGTTTACAGCAAAATTTTTTGATGCGAACCAGTGGGCAGATATTTTACAGGCTTCTGGCGCCAAATACGTTGTCTTAACTTCCAAACATCATGAAGGTAAGTAAGAACAACATCTGCAAACACTGACAGTGGTTATAAATGTGAAGTAGTTCTTTTGGAAGAAGAAACTAAAGCAAGGTCATCCACATGAAAACAGAGTTTTCTCTTAGGAGCAATCTGAAGTGGCTACTGACATTTGCTTGTAATTTAAGAGATCACATGTTTCACCCAATTAAGAAGCATTAAGAAAAAGAAAAAAAGGAGCATTAAGGATGCAGAAAGATCATACCCTCAACGTTTAGAAAAAAATGGAAACTGATTGCATTTTGTTATATGCATAGTTAACAATTTCCAAGTAACACAAGATTTGAGTAAAGCCCTTTGAAGGGGGATGTAGTTTGCAGGTCAAAGTTTACAACTGAACTGTATTCTTTCCGTTTTCTTCTCACCTCTGTAATGCATTCTGGGAAGGTACCCTGGGGATTATTTGCTATTGTCTTACATCATGACCAACATACAAGGTGGTGCTTTTGGCCAACTCTTGTATGACCCAGTTGAGGAAAGTTTGCTATTGATGAAAATGACACGGGCCACCTGAAAGGAACAGGATTGCAAGGCTGTAATGGTGCCCAGAAATATTAGAGACGGTGGAAGAATGTCTGAAAAGAAACAGGGTGGTTGAATTAAGGTTCTCCAAAGAAATAGAGCTAACAGGAAGTGTAATACATATAGATTTATCATACATAAATGGCTCATATGAAACTGGCTCATGCAACTATGGAGGCTGAGAAGTCCAGACCTAAGACCGCCAGTTATATAGTTCCAGTCTGAGCCCAAAGGCATCAGGAACATTAGAGTGGATAATAAAAGTACCTGTCCAAATCTAAGTTAAAAGGCAGGAGAATACTAATGTCTCAGCTCAAAGACATACAGAGAAAACATTTTTCCTTTTTTTTTTTTTTAATTAAAAAACAAAAAACACCACTCTTTAAACTTTCCTGCTTTTGTTTTTCTTTTTGGCTTCAATGCACGGCATACAGGATCTTAGTTCCCTGACCAGGGATTGAACCCATGCCCCCTGCAGTGGAAGTGAGGAGTCTTAACCAGTGGATCACCAGGAAGGTCTGAAGAATTCTTTCTTAATCAGCCTTTTATTCTATTTAGGCCTTCAGTGGATTGGATGAGGCCCACCTCTTCGGGTGGGCAGTCTGCTTTCCTCAGTCTGCCTATTCACAAGTTAATTTCCTCTAGAAATACCTTCAGGAACATATCCTGAATGATGTTTAAGCAAATATCTGGGCACCCTGTGGCCCAGGCAAGTTGACACATAAAATGAACCATTAGAGCGATCTTATATTAATAGAACAGAATCTACCCATTCCCATATCTACCAGATCAAAGAAACATCAGCACGTTATTATTATTCCAACAGCATGTTAATAATTAGATAGTCTGGACCTCTCTGATGGTCCAGTGGTTAAGAATCTGTCTGCCAATGCAGGGGATGCAGATTCAATCCTTGGTCCGGGAAGGTCCCACATGCCTCGGGGCAGCTAAGCCAGAGTTTAGAGCCCTCAAAATGCCACTCCTGAAGCCCATGCGCCCTAGAGCCCAAGCTCCACAACAAGAGAAGTCACCTCAATGAGAAGTCTGTGCACCATGATTAGAGAGCAGCCCCCACCAGCCGCAACTAGGGAAAGGCCCGTACACAGCAACAAAGACCCAGTGCAATCAAAGATAAATAAATAGATGATTTATTTGCACTGGAATAAAAAATTTTGTCTCATTATTTTCTGCAGTGGTGGGTGGGGGATTACAAGGGAAGAATGAAAACCCAAAATAAGGAATCATCTTAGGATATTTTTCCTTTTGGTCACAGTCCAGTGGCTTAATGATTTTTTTTCCTGCAGATGTTTCTCAGGCTGAGATGGATACGTAGGACATGTTGATTTCCTGATGCCTAGAACTTCTCCAGGCTATATGGCACAAAGTGTTACTTAGCTTATTTAAAAACACAGCAAAACAACGCTTAATCACGCTGTGAGGACAAATGATGTAGCCCACATTTATACACTTTCTAGGACCATATTGTTGGAAGTTTGCATGTCTATGGAAGAGACCCTGCTAAGTCCAGTTAGGCTGGAAGACCACCGTGTGAGCTTCTGGTGGTGCTACTGAACCGAAGACCCAAAGTAGTTTTAGCACCGCCAGACATTAGGGCCTGCCAAGTTGAGACATATGGAATAAGACTTTAAATATCACTGACCGTGCTTTGAAGCTTACCTCAAACATCTTTAGAACCAGTGTGAGCTCTTTTAAAAGTTTCTTCAAAATGAATCCAAAGAGTGTGTCCCTATGAGACTTGTCCTAATTTATAAGAGGAAAGTATTAACCGAACACCTTAGGTATGTCAGTTCACAAACATTGCTTTAGATTTTAGCAGGACAGTAACAGTGTATTTATGTTCCTAGATCCTAACTATAAAGATTTTGAGGCTTTTATATTATTCCTTAAGTAGTTCAGTTTACATAGTGCTTCTGTGGCTTTTATATAGAAAAGCCAGCAATCTAAACACAAATTCCTTTTAAAATATGAATTATTTCAAAGTGCTTATGTAATGGCATTCTTCTTATCCATTTAGTTGGTAGATAATTCACTTTTAGGTAATTTACAGCACAATATCCAAGCTTATGGTTTTAGAGAAGGATGAGATTACAGATGGTGGGTACATTTCAAGTGTAGAACTACTGGGGAAGAGTATCTTACCCCCACCTGGGTTAAATGAATAATGAGGGTAAAGGAGATTTAGTACTGAACATGAACCATCAGTGTTCTATGAATCATACTATAATAAAATAATTCTAAAACCAGGGAATATAATCTTTGATTTAGAAGACAGGAATCATGCAGGAGTGCATCTATGGTTCTTCCCTGTAAGTAGTCACAGTCGTTGTTTAGAATGGTGGATGTGGAAGATGTTCCCATCTCAGCTATGATCTGCTAATGTTGATTGTGATTTTGTACTAGACCTTGTGCTAGCCATTGGTTGAGGATATAGCAGGGAACACTGCAGACATGACACTGTCCCTCAAGGAGCTTATCATCTGAGAGGGAGAATACCGGAGACAGATCAGACTATACAGACCTTATTTTCTTGGGCTCCAGAATCACTGTCACCCCACTCCAAAAGCTATGGTTTTTCCAGTAGTCATGTATGGATGTGAGAGTTGGACCATAAAGAAGACTGAGTGCTGGAGAATTGATGCTTTCAAATTGTTCTGCTGGAGAAGACTCTTGAGAGTCCCTAGAACTTCACAGAGATCAAACCAGTCAATCCTAAAGGAAATCAGTCCTGAATATTCATTGGAAGGGCTGATGCTGAAGCTGCAGTATTCTGACCACCTGATGTGATGAGCTGACTCATTGGAAAAGACTTCGATGCTGGAAAAGATTGAAGCAAAAGGAGAAGGGGGCAACAGAGGATGAGATGGCTAGATAACATCACTGATTTAATGGACACGAATTTGAGCAAACTTCGGGAGATAATGGAGCTTCTTGTCCGGTAGTCCATGGGGGTCACAAAGAGTTGGACATGACTTAGCCACTTGAACAACAACAACAGTGGGGTACCTTGAGAAGTCCTTTAAAAAATCTTTCTTCTACTTTGTTTAAATTCTCATTTGTTAGGGACCTCCCTGGTGGCTAACACTCAATGCTCCCAATGCAGGGGGACCAGGTTTGACCCCTGGTCAGGGAACTAGAGCCCACATGCCATAATAAGAGTTTGCATGCTGCAGCTAAGGATTCCTGCATGCCACGACTAAGGCCCTGTGCAGCCAAATAAATAAATAAAAATATTTTTAAAATTCTCATTTGTTTCTTGCATGAAAGCAAAATATATACTAAGGAAAAAAATGGTCATAAAACATGTTTGTAGAAACAGTGATTTATATGTCACGTGTACTGCCTTTATAACTTGGTTTGGTATAGGTGCACATTGACTAGCACAGAGTTGATGTGCTTACAGAGGCTTTTAATATCATGTTTCAGGCTTCACCTTGTGGGGCTCAGAGTACTCGTGGACCTGGAATGCAGTAGATGAGGGGCCGAAGAGGGACATCGTCAAGGAACTTGCGGTCGCCGTTAGGAACAGGACTGACCTGCGCTTTGGGTTGTACTACTCCCTTTTTGAGTGGTTTCATCCGCTCTTCCTTGAGGATGAATCCAGCTCGTTCCAGAAACGACAGTATCCAGTGTCTAAGATGCTGCCCGAGCTCTACGAGTTAGTGAACAAGTATCAGCCAGAGGTGCTGTGGGCAGATGGCGATGGAGGGGCCCCAGATACCTACTGGAAAAGCGTAGACTTCCTAGCCTGGCTGTACAATGAGAGGTGTGTGTGCTATTAGACTGCTGTTGTGACATTCCTAGTACCTGTGTAACATTAGTTCTTGCTTCTTGAAATGTTCCCCTTCAGGCTTGTTTGTGACATGGGGAGAAAATCATTATAAATAATGCATATTAGATATATCAGTATTTACTCAAAATATCAAGAGTTATAAGAACACTGGAAAATTCTTAACAAGAATTAGTTAGCAAGAATACTGGAGTGGGTTGCCATTTCTTTATCCAGGGCATCTTCTGGATCCAGGAATCGAACCCGTGTCGCCTGCATTGGGAAGTGGATTCTTTACAATTAAGCCACCTGGGAAGCCCTAAGAGTTACAGATCAGGAGTCAAATATAGCTCAACAGTCTGATTTTGAATTGAGACTAAACAAAAAGTACAGCATCAAGAACTCTGAAGACTAATTTTGTAGGTCCCCATTTTCATCACCTCTCTGGGGCAATGCTGTTTATCCATCACTGTTTCTCATGATGCACTTTTCAGTTCCTCTAATTGCTTCTTCACATCCTCTTACCTTTGATAATCTTTGCTGCTTGGACGTCACCCTTGTCCGTCTCTTTTCCTTCATTGTCAGCATTTCACCTCTTCCTGTTCTTTCCTTTTGTTTTCTAGCATGTTCCAGGCCGCCCCATTAGAACAGGGAGTTCTGACTAAGCCCCTCTATAAGGCTCACACTATATGGACCAAATTGGTATCTGTATCTCGAAAGTACTTGGTATTGTGCTGTGAAGTTAGGGAGAGTCCTCTTGTGTTTTCTGGGCCCACAGAGGATGCACAGACAAATACTCTGGAGAGCTCTTGGTACATAACCGCAGTTTCTCTAGGTACTCCTTTCCAAAAGGAAATCCTGGGAGTCCTCCACTTCAGTTTGTGAACCAAAACGATCCCCTCTAAAAGGAGAGGTGCAGGAGGTACCACCTGCTATGATGAATAATGTTGTGGGAATATTTTATGCCACAGTGAATTCCATCCATAACAGTCAACTTTGCTGAGACCTTTCAATATTAGGCACAACTATAAGAGAAAGAGACTAGGGGAGAACTTTTAAATAATAGTAAAACTCTTTTAAGTGCTGTGTGTGCTGGGCATACATAGGTGTTTTACATAGATTGTGTCAGTCGCTTAGTCGTGTCTGACTCCTTGTCACCCCTTGGACTGTAGCCCGCCAGGCTCCTCTGTCCATGGGATTCTCCAGGCAAGAATACTGGAGTGGGTAGCCATGCCCTCTTCCAGGGGATCTTCCCGACCCAGGGATCGAACCTGTGTCTCCTGCGGTGGCAGGAGGATTCCTTACTCTCTGAACCACCAGGGAAGCCCAAGTTCTGTTCTATAACAGATGAAGAAATTGATTATTCAGAGGAGTTAGGTAATTTGCTCTAGGACAAGGAGCTTAGCAAGTAACAGGCCAGGACTACAACCTCCTCAGGTCTAGTTTACTTCAAAATCATGGGGTTTGTATCATATTCGACTATGGTTATTTTCTAAGCGTGGATTTCAGTCAGAGCTCTTTTCAGTGACATTGCTTTTGTGTAATTTTTTTTTACTTTTTGTTTAAAAAAAAAAATCCTCCTTTTCATTTCAGCCCAGTTCGGGACACAGTGGTCACCAATGACCGTTGGGGAGCTGGTAGCATTTGTAAGCACGGTGGCTACTATACATGTAGTGATCGTTATAACCCAGGACATCTTTTGCCACATAAATGGGAAAACTGCATGACAATAGACAAGTTTTCCTGGGGCTACAGGAGGAATGCTGGAATCTCTGACTATCTCACAATTGAAGAACTGGTGAAGGTACCGTAAAATGTCTGGTGACCATTATGGTAATATTCATAATAGTGTACACGTGTGAGAATTATGTTTTCTGAACTGTATAGCTCAACGTCCTGTAAACACAGGACACGACTCCTTTTTTTTCTATGTGTGTTCTCTTAGATAGTGATTATTGATGGAATTGTTTTCTTCCTCTAAGAACTATATTTATTCTTAATTTTTAAGCAACTTGTACAAACAGTTTCATGTGGAGGAAATCTGTTGATGAATATTGGGCCCACACGAGATGGCACCATTTCTGCAATTTTTGAGGAGCGATTGAGGCAAATGGGAATCTGGCTAAAAGTCAATGGAGAAGCCATCTATGAAACCTATGCTTGGAGATCCCAGAATGACACTGTGACCCCAGATGTATGGTAAGTACTATTTGATAGAAGAAGGCATTTAACATTTCTCAGAAATAAAGAGAACAGTATAATAAAGAGGAAGATGGATGAATGCCCACTGATACAAAATATTTTATTTACTTAAAATCAGCATATTTTAAGCACTTATTATTTATCAAGTTGAGCTGAAATAATCTCTAGATTCCTCTTAACAGTGGAGAAATTTTAGGGAGAAATAAAATTTCTTACAAAAATTGTAGGTCATTCAGAAAAATGAAAAAAAAAAAAGTACTGGGTGGTTAATCCAAAAGAGACTTTTGGTTTAGTCAGGTAAATTCTAACTTTGCAGGTGTTATATCTCATCAAGTTAGCAGGAGGTGCCAGAGGGCAGGAAAAATATATTCTAATAAATCTAAACCTGGACTTTCTTTAAAATTAATTATCTCAACTGGCTAACTTTTAGCTAGTATCTCCTATAAAAACATATGGTGGTTTCTGATGTAGGATCTTAACATACACAAATAAGAGCAGTCCCCCCTGGTGGCTCAGACTAAAGAATTCCCCTGTAGTGCGGGAGACCTGAGTTTGATCCCTGGGTTGGGAAGATCCCCTGGAGGAGGGCTTGGCAACCCACTCCAGTGGAGAATCCCCTTGGACAGAGGAGCTTGGGGGGCTGCAGTCCATGGGGTCACAAAGAGCCAGACGGGACTGAATGACTAAGCACAGCACAGCACAGTATTAGTGACGCTCTAAAAGTTCACCTTGTGTTATCACCAAAGTGGGTAAGCCAGATCATGCATACACCCAAAGATTAGACTAAACAATCTTCTTTGAACTTATGACTTAAATTGTCAATTCACTGAAGAAAATAAAGTAAGGCAGCCTGCACAGAAGCAGCTAACTGTAGAATTTTAGAATACTGGATCTGGGAGAAGCCATAATGAGAACTCAAAACCAATCTTTCATTTTACAGAGGCTAGTTTTAAATTTGGTTTTAGAATTTGCTTCTGTGTTTATATTTGACTATGAGTATGTGTGGTCTGGGACTTGACAGTTATTAAGCATTATTCCATTAAGTTTTCTTTCAATAAGTAAAGATAAAAGTCAAACTCAACAATCCCTGGGCCGTTGCCTGGCTCCGCTGCACTGAGCCCAGGTCGCCACTATCCCTGGCTCAGCAGAGGAGCTCTCTCCCCCAGGTTCGTGTGTGTGTTTCCCCTCCTTGCTGCATCTTTAGATGGCTATCTAGGCTCCCAGGGCCATCTTTGAAATCCTTTGAGAGTTTAAGCCCTGGCTCACTGTTGCTGTCCCCGGAACTTAGTTAATGTTAGTTGCTCAGTTGTGTCTGACATTTTGCAACCCCGTGGACTTAACCCACCAGGCTCCTCTGTCCATGGGATTCTCCAGACAAGAATACTGGAGTGGGTTGCCAGAACTACTCTTTGTATAATTCTGATTGTCTATATTCACAGCTCATCTAATTTGCTGGCCCCTCAGTTCTTGGGCTTCCCGAGTGAGGCTAGTGGTAAAGAAGACACCTGCCATGCAGGAGACTTAAGAGATGCAGGTTCGATCCCTAGGTTGGGAAGATCCCCTGGGGGACAGCATGGCAACCCCCTCCATCCCATGGACAGAGGGGTCTGGCAAGCTACAGTCCATAGGGTTGCACAGAGTTGGACACGACTGAAGCGACTTAGCAGGCATGCAGTTCTTGTACTTCCTTCTTTCTAAGGATCCTGTCCCCTTCTTTTGGTCGTACCTTAGACCTTGCATTTCCAACATTTGTACTATTTTCATGATCTCAGTCTGAATCATCCCACTGTCTATCTCCCTCCTCTTGTATTTAGTTCACTTTAGCTTCCAAACGACTCTTTAGAGAGTGGAGGTTGAAAAATTCATTCATGGCCAGTGATTTAATCAATAGTGACTAATGAGGCCACCATAAAAAACCAAAAGAATGGAGTTCAGAGAGCTTCTGGATTGGTGGTGGTGCGGGAGAGCTGGGCATCTCAGGAGGGTGTGGAAGCCCCTGGCCCCTCCCCACACAGCTTGTCTATGCATCTTTTCCATCTGGCTCTTTCTGAGATAATCCTTTTATAATAGACCTGTAATTCAGGAAGTAGAATTCTGAGAGCTGCTCTAGCGAATTAGTTGAACTCAAGGAGGGGGTTGTAGGAACCTCCAATCTCTAGCCTGTGGGTCAGAAGCCCACATGACGATCCGGACACATGACTGGTATCTAAATTTGGGGAGGGGGCAGTCTGGTAGGAATAAACCCTGACCCTTTGGAATCTGATGCTGCCTCTGGGTAGATGGTGTCAGAATGGGGTTGAACTGTAGGACGCGCAGCTGGTGCCTGAGAACTGCCTGGTGGTATGGGAACTTTTCCACCACATCACACAGTACACTGGGATTGGGATCAGAATCCTTTTGGGTGCTTTTTATTGCTACCGTGGGGCTATTTTTCCTTCCCTCTATTAAAGAAAACACTGGTAAACATTTACTAAATGGAGGTATCTCTGGAAGATAATTCTGAACCTGAGCCATAAATAATGAGAAATATTGCTATGCATTTTTTTTTTTCTTAACCAGGTACACATCCAAACCTAAAGATAAGTTGGTCTATGCCTTATTTCTCAAATGGCCCGTATCAGGACAGCTCCTTCTTGGCCAGCCCAAAGCTACTCTGGGGGCAACAAAGGTAAGAGGGAATTTTGTCTTTATTGTTCCTTTAAATTGCTTACTAGAACACCCTGAGGAAGACATTAACTTTTAAATTCAAGGTGAGCCTTATATGTATTCCATTTATATCTCATGACAGTAATTTTCAAATGAGCTTTATCAATGGCAATGTTTGGCAAAAACTGTTGAAAATTTTGTTTCATTCCCCAGAAAACTAAGTCTATAAAATAGTTACATCATCTCCATGCTTATCAATTAAAATATCTTCTCCATAGTCATGCTGTGTTGTTCAGGTTCACTGCATGCATCCAAAAATGACTCTTCATAAAACTGGAGTTCAGATTCTTCCCCTGACATCTCACCCCAGAACACATCTGAATAAATGTAAGATGTCATGGCCCTACTATTTTAAGTTCTTAAAGAATTTGGAGAAGGTTAAAGGTTAACCTTCCCTGCTGGCTCAGCAGTAAAGAATCTGCCTGCCATGCAAGAGATGCGGGTTCAACTGAGGGTTTGGCTCCTGGGTTGGGAATATCCTTTGGAGAAGGAAATGGCAACACACTCCAGTATTTTTGCCTAGGACATTCCATGGACAGAGGAGCCTGGTGGGCTACAATCCATGAGGTTGCAAAGAGTCAGACAGGACTGAGCGACCAAACAACAATAACAAAAGGTTAATCTAACAGTTGTGGCCATCAGCTCTGGCAATGAGTCCATTTTAATATATTTTGTAACTTATTTTTAAGAAAATAAAAATTTTCTGGGAGATGAATTATCCAAATTCTTCTCCTTAAACCATTTTTCCATGTTTCATTTCTAACACTTGTGGCTGATCTGGCAGAAAAGGAGATAGAGAGTTCAAATCTGATGTTTATTTTTTTTCAAATCTTATGTTTAACTGCAACTTAGAGGCCTGGGCATAACATTATCTTTTCATTTTACCTATGTTCTCTTTGTTGTTGTTTAGTCGCTCGGTCATGTCCGTCTCTTTTGCAACCCCACAGACTGTAGCCCACTAGGCTCCTCTGTCCATGGGGTTTTCCAGGAAAAATACTGGAGTGGGTTGCCATTTCCTTCTCCAGGGGATCTTTCCAACCCAGAGATCAAACCAGCTTCTCCTGCATTGCAGGCATCTTCTTTACTGCTGAGCCACCAGGGGAGCTTTGGCTGCCATTAATACTGTTATTTGAAAGTCCATGGGTTTTGTTTTTGTATTATTCTACACGAAAAGCAAAGTTTTCTGGTTCAGAATAACCACAAATATATAGAAAACTACTTATTTAAATTCATTTTGTGTAAGACTAAAGATACAGAACAGTTACAGTAATAATTGATCGCATGTACGTACTGTTGATTAGTGGGGGTTACTGGACCATCTGGGGAGGAAGGGTGGCTGGATAAGGAAGGTGAGCCTTTCCCCGAACATCCTGTGTCAGAGCCAGGCAGGCCTTAGTTGTGCAGATTGGTTCAAGAGTAATTTTCTCTACTCTGACACTCTTCAGTCTATACGATTCTTCCTCAAATCCTGCACACTTTCGAGAGTATTAAAGGAGCAAGAGATCCAAACATACGTTTGGATCATAAATTAAAGCAGCTTGTGATCCACTAAATTAAAGTAAAAACAATGAATCTCCTGTCTACATTGCTCTTTAAGAAATATCAACTGCTTCTTCCCAATACAGTGAGGAAGTCAGAGACACATATGGAGACATTTATATGTATGTTTTCAATTTCAGGTTAAACTCCTGGGACATGGACAGCCCCTTCACTGGACACCTTTGAAGCAAAACGGCATTAAGGTAGACCTGCCTCAGGTAACCATCCATCAGATGCCCTGCCAGTGGGGCTGGGCTCTAGCACTAACTAATGTGACCTGATCTGCAGTAGAGTGCTTCCTGATGCAGTTACAACTAAGACTAGAATGTGTATCAGGTTTCTGTAACTACAGCACATGGACAAAGCAAATGTAAAATTGGCCAAGAATTTCCTAAATTACCCACATAACTGTTTTAACTCTCCAGTGCACTTTGCTATTTCTCTTCACACTGAATTTATTTCCATGTGTGAATCAGAGGTGGGGATCTTTGTTGTAGTGAGAAATTGGTGGTGGTAAGGACTGAATCATGTCTAATGCCAAATTCACATTTTGAAACTCTAAGCCTCAATGGGGCTTCCCTGGTAAAGAATCCACCTGCAATGCATGGGACATGAGTTTGATCCCTGGGTTGGGAAGATCCCCTGGAGAAGGATTGAATTTGGAGATTTTAAAGAAGTAACTAAGGTTGAATGAAGTCATCAGGTTGGGACCTTAATCCAATATGGCTGGAGTCCTTATAAGAAGAGGAAGAACATGGATGGAAGCACACAGAGGAAAGACCATTTAAGGACACCGTGAGAAGGTGGCTGACTACAAGCCAAGGAGGCCTCAAGAGAAACCAAACCTGCTGAAACCTTGGGCTTTCAGCCTCCAGAACTGTGAGAAAATAAATTACTGTGGTTGAAGCATCCTATCTGTGGTATTTAGGACAACTCTAGCAGACTAATAAGGGCCTCCCAGGGGGCTCAGTGGTGAAGAATCCCCCTGCCAGTGTGGGAGATGCTGGTTCAATACCCGGGTTGGGAAGATCCCCTGGGGAAGGGAATGGCTACCCCCTCTAGTATTCTTGCCTGGAAAATTTCATAGACAGAGGAGCCTGGCTGGCTATGGTCCATGGGGTTGCAAAAGAGTCAGACACAACTTAGTGACTAAACAACAGCAAGAAAGACTAATAGCGGGTCATAGGTATATAATAAATTGGACTTAATGTTTATGCTTACAGTAACTGTCTTTTTATAAAAAATTTTGTTTTTTTCCTTCATGGTAATAAAACTGATATATTATACAGAAATGCCTAAAGACAAAATCACTAAGGTCACCATTATTAATATTTTAGTATTTATTCTTCCAGGGTTTTTCTGGGCGGAGGAAGGTGAGGGTGTAGGATTGGAGGTGTGGGCTTATTTTTGTAGGTGGGCTAATTTGAGGTCCAATTTAAATGAATAATTTGTTTTCCTGTATTTATTTGCCTTTAAGCAAATTTAAGTTGAAAACCTATCTGAAAATTATTGTCTATTCAGATCTTCCCTAAGAATGACGCCAAAATACTGATATTGATGTAAATGTAAAGAAACACTGGTTAAAGAACTCACTTAACAAAAGATGTTCCACAAGGTTAGATCTTTAGTTGAAGTGCTACAGGCTCCATTTTGTTACGTTAATCAAATGCAGATATCTCATTGTTCCCTGTAGACACTTCCAAGTACAGAGGGAAGTAAAACACTATTCACATTTATTTTCGAAAATCATCTTGAAGTTGAAAATATTTAAAAAAAATTACTCATTGCTGAAGTTTCTACAACTACCAAAATTTTAAAACCATTCTAAAGTACTGACATGAGTAAGTACGTTTAAGAGTTCTAAATCCCAATTACCATTTTATTAGAGGTCCAATAAGGAAAGATTTACATGATCCCCAACACTAGACAAAAAAAAACAAAAAAGGAAAAAACTCTGAGTTAGAAGAATCTTAACATAAAAGTGAGGTCATCTGAAGCAAATAGTTTTGAGACTAAAATCTTTCAGTCATTTATATTCTTACCTTGTCCATAATGACCTTTACCAATAGAGAATATAGAGGGGAAATGGAGCTATTTAAGTAAATTATAATTAGATATAGGGTTTAGTTAATGGGTAGCTATGAGGAAGCTAAATGATAAAATACAGATCAGCATTCAGAGGTGCTGATAAAATGCTTTGCTAATAACTATATATGGAACAGAATGAGACATCAAATTTAAGTTTAACGTATATCTTGCTTATATGTGAAATATACTCTAAGTGGGACTTGTAACAAGGATTTTAAAATAGTCAAATTCTTAGAATTATCATTGGTATGAAGGGCAAGAATTATACTAAGGCTAATTAAAAATCAGATCTCTCATTACTTATTTTAAGCCAATAGTTCTGTTAGGTAGTTATAATAGGAAACAGGAGTCCAGAATGGCAGTGGCTAAAAGACAGGAAAGAGAAAAGCCTGTGAAAATAGAACAAAGGATGGTCTGAGGATCAGAGTGAGGACCTCAGGTAGAACAAGCAACACTCCTGACTAGCCCAATTTACATAGGGCAGGCCCAGGGGGAGAAAAAGAACATATAAAAAGAGGAGCCAAAGGGCTGGGGGTTCTCTCTCTCTGCCCCCCACGCGCTGGGGTGCTCTTCTCTTCGCATCTTTGGGTCGACATACCCTCACGCCTCGAAGATGGATTTTCCTGCTATTATCTAAATAAAACAGAGCTGTAACATGGAGCTGTAACACTGATTTGTGTAAGAGATATAACACCGTCCGTTCGAGACCTGAGAGCTATAACACGGTCTGCCCAAGACCCGAGAGCTGTGACACGCTGAGGGCTTTAATGTCCGTCACTCCAAACCTTTGTTGTGACGAGACAGAACTGAGGAGCATGCACTCTCCTGACAGTTCTTATCCCCCACAACTGATTCTTTTCCCAGAGTCATTATACAGGCACAAAATTAACGTGTTTTAAATTTCAGTAACATTGGATTTTTCTTTAATAATGAGAGAAATATCGAAGGCAAGCAAAACTAGATTGTTAGACTGGATATCACTTTAATAAGATTTTATCTCATTTTCTTATGAGTGCCATATTGAAACAACACAATTACTTTAAAAGTTCAGACTAATCAAATAAATATGAATTAGGGCCACAGAAAACAAGACAGATATTTTGCTTGCTGTTCATTTTTTATTTTGTAGGTAAAAGACCAGGTTACATAAAAATCTTCCTGTCTAACTTGCAAACAAATAATTGTTCATATTGAATTTTTAGATATACATAGTAACAAACATATTTATACAAGTTTGAAGGAGAAAGTATAATTGTTTTAAGTAATCTCCATTTAACCAACTGACTAGAGTAACGGATGCTCTCCATTTTCTTGGAAAAGAATACTAATTGACGCCTGGGCAAGATGCAGGCTTCCAGTTAGCAGCCTTTTGTCTGGCACATGCTTCTGTTTCCACTTGCTGCAATCAATTTGAAAGTGAAAAGTGAAAGTCGCTCGGTTGTGTCTGACTCTTTGCGATCCCATGAACTGTAACCCTCCAGGCTCCTCTGTCCATGGAATTCTCCAGATAAGAATACTGGCCTGAGCTGCCAATTTCTTCTCCAGGGGTTCTCCCCGACCCAGGGGTTGAACCTGGGTTTCCTGCATTGCAGGCAGATTCTTTACCATTTGAGCCACCAGTAAAGCTATGTAACAGGATATGTTTACCACCAGTTAGCTGAGTTTTTTACTGCAGTGGGTTGAATAGTACTCCCCAATAAATCATACCTACTCAAAAGCTCTCAAAAACTACTCAAAAGGCTTCTCTGATAGCTCAGTTGGTGAAGAATCCACCCGCAATGCAGGAGACCCTGGTTCAATTCCTGGGTTGGGAAGATCTGGTGGAGAAGGGAAAGGCTGCCCACTCCAGTATTCTTGGGCTTCCCTTGTGGCTCATCTGGTAAAGAATCCACCTGCAATGTGGGAGACCTGGGTTCAGTCCCTGGGTTGGGAAGATCCCCTGGAGAAGAGAAAGGCTACCCACTCCAGTATTCTGGCCTGGAGAGTCCATGGGGTCACAAAGAGTTGGATACGACTGAGCGACCTTCACTTTCACTCAAAAGCTCAGAATGTGATCTTAATTTAGGATCTTTGTGTCTTTGCACATGCAATTAAGAATTAAGGTAAGTTTTAAGGTAAGATCATAGTGGATGTGGAGTCGCAAACATGTAGATGACCACATGAAGATAGGCAGAGACTGGAGTTATGCTGCTGAAAGTCAAGGAATATGTGGGGCCACCAGAAGCAGGAAGTCAAGGAAGCTTGGAAGGATTCTTCCTTGGAGTCTGCAGAGGATACGTGGCCCTGCTGACACCTTAATTTTGGGTTTCTAAGCACCAGAATGATGAGAGAATAAGTTTCTGTAGTTTTAAGCCACACAGTTAGTGGTAATTTATTACAGCAATTCTAGGAAACTAACACAGTTACCAAACAGATTATGTTTGGTAATTTATGATAAATTTGTTTTTATCATGTTACATAAGCAGATGAAATGAGTGTGAAGAGTTGTAGTTTCTGTGAAAACCAAGTTGAATACTTTGGAAAAGCTAGATGAAAATCTGTTGCTTTCCCCCCATGCTCAATTTGAATGTATTGGTTAATTATTGGTAAAACAGTTCTAAAAGACTGGACAGAAATCTACTAAAAATCCACAAGTATTCTGTACCCATATACAACTATATAATGTAACACATATGATTTGTATAAGACAGTCAGAGAATGCTTATAAGCATACCTACATTGAAAGGGTAGAAAGGACCTGGGTCCTACATTAAATAACTGGCAAATAAAGATGACGTACTTTAAGTTAAAATATCTAAGAATATATGTGTTATTTTAAAAATGATATCCTGTTTTAAAAGACTTTTTGCATTAACCAAACAACTAAGGGGTCCAGATAAAAGGGCTCTGACTGTTCAATTAGAACACAAATTTGTAATGTCTAAGGCCACTTAGCTTCAAATACATGTGAGTTTTTTTACCTTGTCATCTCTACAACTGCCATAACTCCACAGATGCAGATGATTCCAGGTGATAACTTTCTGATGATCAGCAGTCTATCCTTACAAAGTCACATCTGTTCAGTCTCAAAATTTCCTTGTATGAAATCCTAGGTTAATTTTGCTGGAAGAGATGCATGCTCTATTACACATACATTCACTCATTTTCCAAAATACAGTTTTCCACCATCCTATTAGAAATTACATCATTATATTCTGACAAATTTTGAAAAGAAGTATGTGTTCTCCTCTCTACTTTCACTTCAGTTCAGTTCAGTCGCTCAGTCATGTCCAACTCTCTGCAACCCCAAGAACTGCAGCACGCCAGGCCTCCCTGTCCATCACCAACTCCTGGAGTCCACACAAACCCATGTCCATTGAGCCAGTGATGCCATCCAACCATCTCATCCTCTGTCGTCCCCTTCTCCTCCTGCCCCCAACCTTGCCCAGCATCAGGGTCTTTTCAAATGAGTCAGCTCTCCGCATCAGGTGGCCAAAGTATTGGAGTTTCAGCTTCGGCATCAGTCCTTCCAATGAACACCCAGGACTGATCTCCTTTAGGATGGACTGGTTGGATCTCCTTGCAGTCCAAGGGACTCTCAAGAGTCTTCTTCAACACCACAGTTCAAAGCACCAATTCTTCAGTGCTCAGCTTTCTTCACAGTCCAACTCTCACATCCATACATGACCACTGGAAAAACCATAGCCTTGACTAGACAGGCCTTTGTTGGCAAAGTAATGTCTCTGCTTTTTAATATGCTCTCTAGATTGGTCATAATTTTCCTTCCAAGGAGCAAACGTCTTTTAATTTCATGGTTGCAATCACCATCAGCAGTGATTTTGGAGCCCAGAAAAATAAAGTCAGCCACTGTTTCCCCATTTATTTGCCATTGAGTGATGGGACCAGATGCCATGATCTTAGTTTTCTGAATGTTGAGCTTTAAGTCAACTTTTTCACTCTCCTCTTTCAGTTTCATCAAGGGGCTCTTTAGTTCTTCTTCACTTTCTGCCATAAGGGTGGTGTCATCTACATATCTGAGGTTACTGATATTTCTCCTGGCAATCTTCATTCCAGCTTCTGCTTCCTCCAGCCCAGCGTTTCTCATGATGTACTCTGCATATAAGTTAAATAAGCAGGGTGACAATATACAGCCTTGACGTACTCCTTTTCCTATTTGGAACCAGTCTGTTGTTCCATGTCCAGTTCTAACTGTTGCTTCCTGACCTGTATACAGGTTTCTCAAGAGGACAGTCAGGTGGTCTGATATTCCTATCTCTTTCAGAATTTTCCACAGTTTATTGTGATCCACACAAACAAAGGCTTTGGCATAGTCAATAAAGCAGAAATCGATGTTTTTCTGGAACTCTCTTGCTTTTTTGATGATCTAGCGGATGTTGACAGTTTGATCTCTGGTTCCTCTGCCTTTTCTAAAACCAGCTTGAACATCTGGAACTTCACAGTTCACATTATTTCTGAAGCCTGGCTTGGAGAATTTTGAGCATTACTTTACTGGCGTGTGAGATGAATGCAATTGTGTGTAGCTTGAGCATTCTTTGGCATTACCTTTCTTTGGGATTGGGATGAAAACTGACCTTTTCCAGTGCTGTGGCTACTGCTGAGTTTTCCAAATGTGCTGGCATACTGAGTGCAGCACTTTCACAGCATCATCTTTTAGGATTTGAAATTACATCATTATATTCTGACAAATTTTGAAAAGTATGTGTTCTCCTCTCTACTTTGACATCTGCTTTTGTCTGTTTTTTTTTTTTTTAATATATTCTAGGCATAGATTCCCTAGCAGTTGGCTTCAGCCCTAACCTGGCCTCATAAGAGACATTACAATTCATTTTCTACCTTCTCCTATTTAGCTATATGTTATATGTTGAAGGAACATAAAACAACATAAATGATGCTACTGAAAATATATTTAATATAATGATGATATGATTAATTTCTTTCTGTCCTAGTTAGCCATATAAAAAGCTACATATATACTAGAACAATGAATTATTTCTTTTTAGAAGGAAATGATATTTTTCTAAACAAGTAAGTTAATGCATCAATTAATTGCTTGTTAAAAAAATGAAACTTGAAAACCAGTGTAATCTCCAAAAATAACAACAAAAATGCTACAGGACAAATAACTTAATAACTGTAAAGTATTAACTCAATAAAACCATATTTTACTAAAATATTTTATTGTAATAAGATTCACTGTGCTCAAAAGCAATACAAAGTAACTTATAATTATTTACATAGAAATAAATGAAACTATGTACAGTAGTTAATAATAGCTGAGTAAACAGCATCAACACAATGTTCACCTCTAAATCAGTATGTAGTTTCCTAATGATTGTTAACAACAGTAAAGAAAAAAATTGCTGATCATGGTTGTTCCTTCTTATTTTTGGCCATGTTATGGCATGCAGGATTGTAGATTCCCTGGCCAGGGAACAGGGACTGAACCCGTGCCCCCTGCAGGGGAGCATGGAGCCTTAACCACTAGACCACCAGGGAAGTCCTAATCCTAGTTGTTAAATTAACTGATTTCTATTAAAAAAGAAAGTTCTCAACCAGGTGTATTTAAGACAAAGTATTTATCCCTTTGAAGATTAACTGGAGAAAAGTCTGATTCTCTCCTGTACACTGCAATCCAGTGAACTTTAAGTCCAGTGAACTTTAAACAGCATTTTTTCCAAACTTTATATCTACTTCCCGAACAGATTTTACCTCAGTATGAATGTCAAAGAATAAAGTATCTACATTATCTGACTTGGAACTAATATCCGTGATGTAACAAACTATTAACAGTTCTGATATTTGCACTGTATATACTCAGATATGCCCACAAAAACCAGTCTGTTGATGGCTTTAAAAAAATATATTAAGATGCCAAATAAATCTATTTTATTATGAAGACTTTGATTAAGAATATATTTTTATTAGACATTATGGTAACAAATCATTACCCTATATATAGTTGATTTATTCAGTGCATTTTTTTAAAAAAGTAACTGAATCCCATTGTAGCTATTCTTGAAGGAAAAAACCAATCATTTCTCCAGTTGTTGAGGAGTACTAAAAGCCTCGTACACATTAGCAGCAAAGTCTTTCACTTGCTCCATCATTAACAGATCCTAGCAAAGATAAGAATAAAACATTACAGTTTGTAATAAGAACAGATAATCTGAATTCATTTCTGCAATCAAGCAACAAATTTAGCTCAAAGTTTTGTGGCATTAAGGCCAAAAAGAAAACCATTTAATGAAAGTAGTTTCTTTAATAATAAATTCCTGGAGATATTTATTCAGTTCTTGTATGAGAGACAGTGGGTATGATAAATATTCAAGTGTGGCTTGTCAAGATGAACCGCTTACTGATGAAGGCAGAGACTTTTATGAAAATGGACAAAGATAAAGTTAAGGTATAAATGCCAGAACTCACAACTTTTCCCCCTCACACTAAGAAGATCCAAAATAGTCTTCAAATGGATCTGTGTGTGAGTGTCAAATGCTGGATGACAATCTGCTGAATAAATGATTACAACAATATATACACACATAACCAGCCACACAAATATACCTGAGAACAGGGGTTCTTAAGGGATTTGTTAATGTAGATAAAGAGAAAATTACATCTTTTTTTCATTAACCTTTAACTAAAATCTAGCATTCCTTGCAGTTGTGTATGTAAGCAACAGTCAGCAGAACCTGTGAGCTGGCCTTTAGCAGAATTCAGACATTTTTATATCATATGATAGGTAAGTTGCAGAAGTTCCATGAACTGTCATTTTTAAAAAGTATTTTGAAACTGTATGCAGTTGGTTTTTGTTAAAACCTACATATTTTACAGTATACACTTACAGGCATTATTCTGAGGTGTCCACAGGCTTCCCCAGAGAGTGGAAGGATCCATGGCAACAGAAACCATTATGTGCTTCATGCTGCCCGGTCAGCAGCAGAGAAACAGGAAGTGAACCTATCCTTGATGTTCTTTCTTAAGCATCCGAAAATCCAGGTGAGCTTAGCAAGTTTTCATCTCACAAATTCATAGTTAAATTCTCTGAATACTACATGGTACTTTAACCCACAGAAATCATAATTAAAAAATTTGGTGGAAGGCTTGTCAATTAATGGTCTAGTATATAAACAATCTACATGCAATGATACTAAGAAAATGTATTAATACTAAGCACTAGTATCAATGATGTTTGTACCTTTTATTTTCATCCTCAATTACATACTTTAATATAGTATGTAAATTTTTTAAGCACCAAAGCTGGTGTTGTATTAAGTGTGTGTTAGTCACTCAGTCACGTCCAACTCTGCGATCCCATGGACTGTGGCCCACCAGGCCTCTCTGTCTGTAGAATTCTCCAGGCAAGAATACTGGAGTGGGTAGCCATTCCCTTCTCCAGGTGATCTTCCCGACCCAGGGACTGAACTTGGGTCTCTTGCACTGCAGGCAGATTCTTTACCATCTGAGCTGCCAGGGAAGCCCTGGTGTATATATTATGCTACTCATCAAGATGAACAGCTTACTGATGAAGCCAGAGATTTTTATGAAAATGGAGAAAGGTAAAGTTAAGGTTTAAATGCCAGAAGTTACAACTATTTTTTTTCTTACACTAATATGCACATAAAAATTAAAAGAAAAAATATTTAAAACTTAAGTGTTCAAAAAATTTTGAGCTAAAATTAAACTTAAAATTAAATTAAGTCACATGTGAAGGATAAGCCAATGACTCTATACAAGAGAAAGGAAGAATTACAACCCATAGCCTCATGGCTCTTCATGTTCTCAAACAGAAAACGAGATACTCTAATTTGAGATAAATATTACTGAGAAGATACTATCTTGACACTTAGGCCTAGAGTTTCTCTCTTCTCACTGCACATTATGGCAGTAGTTTGGAACTGAGGTGTATTGAGAGTAACTTATTGCTGGTTATACAGTTTCCAAGTTTGCAAATAACTTGGAAAAAAAGTTTGGATTCAAAGCTGTTCTTTTAGTAAAATCGGTCTTATTCAATGAATTCTATTATAAAATGCTTTCCTAAGAAAGGAGATGGAGTTATAGGGAGACGAGTGAAAAATTTAAATAACCTACTGAGTATGCAGCTTTTAATCAACAGATTATTGGTGCACTACTAACAGTTATACTTATTAAAATAATTATTTAAATGCTTTACTTTCCTACAAAAATGTTTCATTTTTCCTTAAAATCTGAGGGACTGGTTCACTGATTTGCCTCAAGGCACAGCTTAATGCAAAACATTAACACTGTAAATTCAACTGACCACTAGAATATATCTGGACTAAAATACAGTCTGTCTAGCATGTGTTGTACTGTAACATGGAGAAAGGTATTCCCAACCTCATAAAAGTGTCATGATATTATACTCTCATGGGGCACTCTACTGTACTCTACATGTGGCTTCAAGTTTTTGGTTTCTTTGAACAAATATCATAGAAGAGAAATGTAATTTTATGTTAGACAAACAGGACCACAACCAAAAGTACAGTCTGTTTTTAATAATAACCCAAGCTCTCCTCTTACCTGAACAAAATGACTAGGCGTTTCACTGCAAACTGAATGGATCTGTCCATTTATTATGGGAATTATCTTAGCTAAAGGCAGGCTGACACTAGAAAGACTGAAAAATCATCACAGTAATAATTACTTTCTGAAATTATCTTATAGGAATTTAATGTTTAATCATAAAAGAAATAGTCATTGAAAAATACTTAAAAATATTTTAGTAAGAAAATAAAGACCAAACATAATTTTACCATCTAGAAATAACAATTATAATTGACATCATAGTTAATTTCTTCCAGTAATTTTTTTATACATATCTATACTTTTTGGGTGTTTTTAACACCCAGCTATAACCTCCCAAGCAACACTGTTTTGCATTTTTATTCACATGCTATAATCATTCTTTCCATCTCATTAAAAGTTCTTCCAAAGTATTTGTCTGTTTTTTAATTACTATATAGTAATTCATCCTCTAGCTGTGACAACTTTTATCATCAGCTCCCTATGATTGGGCACTGAGTTTTTGCCTAATTTTCCTTAATATAAATAACTCTTTGTATTTACAGTAAATTACTGAGTCAAAGGGTATGAATGCTTTTAAGCTTTAAAATGTATATTGCCAAATTCCCTCTGCTTCTCTAACACTATGAGAGGATACCTGCTCTATCATGACTCCTTTCTACATCAAGCATTTCTTTACTCTTCATATGTCTGATAGCTAAAAATGATTCTCTCACAGTTTTGGTCTGTATTTCTCTTAATTACTAGCAACATCAAATAGTTAAGTATAATAAACACTTGAGTCCTACAGGAGTGATCATGAGTACTACAGGAATTAAGAAAAGATTGAAATGGCTGATACAACTGCAACATAATTTTTCTAATTCTCTAGTGTACAAGATCAAGTATTTGTTTTATATAAAAATTCTTATCACCATTCAGTAAATAACTAATACTTTTGCTAAATAGAGATTATAGTGAAATTTTGTTGACTGGAGCACCTTAATTTAGAGAACTTACTGAGGCTGAATTTTTTTTGAGAATTTAAAGAATTGCTAAAAAAGATTTTAGGATGACATTTAAATTGCTTCTGAAAATAAACTTTATGACCCTAAGCATTCCAAATCCTCAATGTTAACTGCAAATTACTCCTTTTTGTATAATAAAGAGTGGTCCCAGAGAACTGGGCAAATAGCCTCTTGTTCTATGTGTCTGAGAATTAAAACAGGCATTGCACATACATACTGCATATCAGTTACTGTTATCCCTAATTTTAACAGATAAGTTTATAGTCAGTTAACACTGATTTAGTACCTATTATTTTCTGAATTTAATACAAAAAAACTGTAAAAGAGTGTAAATCCTAATAGATTCAAGGTGCTCATGCTGAGATGGTAAGAATAAAATAAAGCCATATGCTATCTTTTGGCAGAGTGAACCCATGACTTAGTAATTATGATTAAAATCACTATCATCTGTACTATCTAAACATTCCTAATCCTACAAAACCGGCTATGTAACTAGGAGATAATTCATTAAATGGGAATCTAGAATAAGAATGTCTGGTTGAATTATGAAGGCCAATTATAGCTTATAGTACTGGAATAATGTAAGAGAAAACGTTAAGACTTAAATAACGTTTTCATGAAGTTTTGTATTCTAAAGCGTTAAATTAAAAAAGCCTTAATAAGTGAAACTGGTCTATGGAAAAGCAGTTTCACAAGGTAAGTACTTGTGTATAGTGGCAAAATTTTAGAAGAAATAAACATTTTAATACTGAATACTGAAAGAGCTCCTCCTAATGAAGGAGTCATTGGTTTAACAGAGTTTAATTTGTTGAAAAAATAAACATTCACATTTGTCATCTGAGATGTTTTTTTCTGTTACCTGGAACAAAAAATAAACATATCCAAAAGCACTGTTTTATCAGAAGTCCTTAGACTGGTGA